ATTCAATAAATAAATTTAAATTATTCATAAGTTTTTATTCTTATACCATGTTGAGCAATATTATATACAACAAATATGTCATATCTTCGAGAAGATGAGTGGATAGCTAGAAGCCTAGAACGTACATCGTGGTTCATAAACAAAAGATGCAAATTTAAAGGCAAATAAATCATTATATTGTATTTTCTTACATACCTTTAATTATGAATTTTCATTGTTTAATATTTTCGTGGTGTTGTATGAGAAAGTCAAGTTATTTTATCGTTTAAAGAAGTTACCTATAGTACCCGTAGTCCAACTAGGCGATAAATTATTTTTGAGAAGAGGATCAAACGTGTGTGGCATAATTTTTTGGGGGACGATGGGAAATTGAGATTTGATGTCGAATTCTTGTTGTCCATCAATTAATTATTAACACATTATTTTTTATTAAAATGGCACATTTTTAAGCATAGAGAGTAGTTAAAGAAAAGTTGGACATGCTAATTTAAAATTATGTGTCAATAATTAATTTTCTGGACAACAAAAAATGGACAATGGATCTCTACTCGACAATGGGGTGATTCACTCAAATGTCAAGTCCTCTTCATCATATTTTACCTCTAACGTCTCCAGATCAGCGACGATCTCCTTAAACACGGCCAGATGATCTTCTAGTGATCGGCTTTCTACCATGCGATGAGAATAAAGCCTCTACTTCAGATGCAATTTGCTGATCAGATTTTTGGTCATGCACAATTGCTCTAGTTTCAACCACAATGCAGTTGTTGTCTTCTCCTTCAAGACGTCCTGAAGAATGTTGTTAGATAGATGAAGATGAATATACGAAAGTGTCTTGCGATCCTTCTGTTGCTTCTCCTCTTTTGTCCAAGTTGTGAGCATCCAAATCCATATGCGCCAATATAGCTCTCATCTTCATTTGTCACAACGAAAATCTTGTACTGCGATCCAACAGCAAAATATCATATTTCATGGTAGCCATCGATAACAAAAAACCTCAAACAATCAAATCCTTCCTCTACAGAAGTGATGAACATTGTGTCTGATACCACTTGTTAGGAATTCGATGAGTTGATATGGCGCGATATGAAGTATAGATCGCATAAACTAATGAACATGATTTAAAAGAAAGCAAATAAGAAATTGGTAGAGGAACCGAATATTTTATTGATGACAACCAATGGAAAGGAAATACAATTTTTAGCAACTTCTACTATCTACTAAATTGAATGAAGAGTTTATTATTTATAGGGCCTAGAAATATCACAAAGATGAAAATTAGATTAAAAAAAATTACGTGTAATAAAAGAATAATATTTTTTCGATAAAATACGCGAAATAAAAGGAAATAATATTTTTTCAATAAAACAAATGAAATAAAAGGAAATTGAGGTAACACTAACAAGTCTCATTACCCGATGAATAACAGAATAAGCAAAGGATTCAATCCAGAAATATACTCCTCGTACATTCCTTGTGTATATGGAGTTTGACACTCTTTTGCAAATTCACAAATGGAGTGGCGGGAAAGTGNTTTACATGGAGTTTGACACTCCTTTGCAAATTCAAAAATGGATTGGCGGGAATGTGTTTTGTATTTCAAACTGGCCAATCGTGTTGCAACATGTGGCACAATGTCAAACTTGATGTTAAAAACAGTGTACTTGTAGCATGATTGTTACTCATACAAGGTTCTCCAATGGCGTTGGCCCTGGCGGATCGAATTGAACTCTGCAGCTCAAAGGACTGGTCAAAAGCCTCTGGTAAATTGTTAGTTTTGAGTTCTTAAATAGACTGGCCAACTGGTCAACGGACTGCGACAAGGCGTTGCAACTTGATCCTACGCTCCTCCAAGCCTACATTTTGAAAGGTAATTTTCGAATGAGTGCAATTTTTAATAAATAGACTGTATTTGCATGGGTTTCAGACCTTAATTTATTGAATGAAGCTGTTTTTTCAATATGTAAGAATTGTTTTAATTAGCTATCTTCAAGAATGTACAGATCCGGTTACTTGTGGGACTACGCGGGTTATAGAATTTAGTCTCTAAGAGTTGTAGTAGAAAGCCAATTGTTTCATCTGGAGTTCTTATTTTCCCCTCGGTGACATTAATTTAGGCATTGGATTTACGATTGAATTGAAGCTAATTCAAGCATATTAGTTACTACTTCTCTAAATATGATCTCAAATCTTCACCTTCATGCACTAATTACATTGTTAATGTTGTCTAAAGTTCTGATGGCAGCACTTGCAGACATTCGAGTTTGTAGAGTCAATGTTGCTTACAGAAAGAGAANNGTCAATGTTGCTTACAGAAAGAGAACAAGTTTGTTAGATTGATATTGGAAGATAAAAATTTGCTGGTAGCAAGAGCATTATTTTGAATTAAATATATGTATTGAATTAAAGAAGGATGAAATTCAGACAGAAGAGGCGGAAAGCTTCTTATTGAATTGAAGAAATAAGCAATCCAATTTTACAATGTATCAGTCAACGCTATATATACAGAGCAATATAACAGAATGGTAAATGGCGGGAAAATGAAATAAGGAAAGACAGCTGGCAGCAAGCTAAAAACATCTAACATCTAATACTCCCCCTCAAGGTGGCCGGTGAATGTCAAGAACGGCCATCTTGAAAAGTAAAGGACGTAAAGATGCAGAAGACAACGGTTTGGTGAAAACGTCAGCAAGTTGGTGAAGAGTGCGAATCAGAAGGAGCTTGAGAAAACCGGAAGTAACTTTATCTCGAATAAAATGACAATCGATTTCTATGTACTTCGTCCGTTCATGAAATGTGGGATTGCTGGCAATGTGTATGGCAGCTTGGTTGTCACAGTATATGACAGTAGAACCAGCTGGAGATATGTGAAAATCAAGCAAGAGCTGATGAAGCCATACAAGTTCACTGGTAGTGGATGCGAGGGCTCTATATTCTTCCTCTGCAGAGGAGCGAGAGACTGTCGTTTGTTTCTTGGCTCGCCAGGAAATCAAAGAATCACCAAGAAAGATGCAAAAACCAGTGACTGATTTTCGAAAGTCCAAACAAGACCCCCAATCAGCATCAGCAAAAGCCCGAAGCTGAAGAGAAGAGGCAGAAGAGAAGAACAAGCCTTGGCTAGGAGAGGCTTTGAAATACTTCAGAAGATGAAGTACTGCAGCCATATGAGGTAGTCTTGGAGCTGAAACAAACTGGCTCAATTTATGAACAGCAAATGTTATATCAGGCCGGGTAACAATGAGGTATAATAAACGACCAATCAATCGTCTGTAGGAAGAGGCATCTGGTAGGAGATCACCATCAGAAGAAGTGAGCTTAGCCTTAGGATCCATGGGTGAAGAGGAAGGTTTGCAGCCAAGAAGACCAGAATCCTTAAGGAGTTGTAAGGCATAATGACGCTGAGACAAGAATATACCACCAGCAGATCGTGCCACTTCCAAACCAAGGAAGTATTTCAAAGGACCAAGGTCTTTGAGTTTGAACTGGCTGTGAAGGAACCTCTTCAATTCCTCAATAACAGGCAAATCAGAACCTGCAATAATTATGTCGTCCACATATACCAGTAAAGCAACAAAAGACGAACCAGCACCCTTAGTGAAGAGTGAATAGTCAGATTTGGACTGAGTAAACCCATGCGAAACCAGGGCCTGGGAGAATTTTGAGAACCATTGTCACGAAATCTGCTTCAATCCATAGATTGATTTATGCAAACGACAAACCAGCTTCTCCCCCTTTTCATCAGCCTTCTGATAATTAGTGTAACCCATAGGAAGATCTATATAGACCTCCTAAAAAAGATCACCATTCAGAAATGCGTTATTAACATCTAATTGAAATAGATGCCAGCCTGAGATGGCTGCAAGAGCAAGAAGCATTTTAACTGTGACGAGTTTGGCAACCGGGGAAAAGGTTTCAATAAAATCTAAACCCTCCTGTTGAGTGTAGCCCTTTGCTACCAAATGCGCTTTATAGCATTCAATACTGCCATCAGACCTATATTTAATCTTATAGATCCACCGACATCCAATAGAATGTTTCCCAGGAGGAAGGGATTGAACAGACCAAGTGTGGTTTGATTCCATAGCATCTAACTCATTAGCCATTGCTTCCCTCCAATGTTGACATTTAACAGTTTGATGATAAAATTGGGGTTCAGAATTGGAAGAAATCTGGAGTAGATAAGCACGATTGGAAGAGGAAAGAGAATCATAGGAAATATAATTTGTCAAGGAATAAGAATTCTGAGGAGCAGATTGAGACCTATGGTGAAGCATATGGCAGTGATAAGTTTACAGGTAGGAGGGTGGTTTAATGATCCTTGAAGACCTTCGAACCACAGGAGGAGGAGCTGAGTTAGAATTGAGAGGAGCAGATAAGCTATTATGGTCTGAAGTAAGAGGTATGGGCAGATCAGTGGCTGGAATAGGAAGGACTAAGTCTGGGAAAGGATCAATTAAGTCATCAAGAGTGGTTATTGATTGAAAGGGAAATAAAGTTTCATGAAAAACCACATCACGAGAGACAAAGAAAGATTTAAGTTTATATCCCTTGATACCGGGT